AAGTGTCTGGCATCTCCATTGTGAACTTTTGGAAGCCTCGTTGGGAATGGTTAAAATCATTTCGGAAACTGCTATAGTACCCTTTGGGAACATCTTAATACCAAGTCAAGTCGTCTCCAATACCCGTCGGAAATATCTGAATACCAAGTCAAGTCACGAGTGCTCGTAGGGAGTGTCCGGAATCACATCAATCTTTGAGAACGTCTGAATACCAAGTCAAGTCATGAATGCTCGAAGGGAAATTTCGGATTCACTTTCGGATCGACCAAGTTCAGTCATAAATGCTCGCCATAAATGTCTGAAATCACTTTCTGAATGACTGAAATCTTCATTGTGAACTGTTGGAATCCTCGTCAGGGATGTTTGGAATAAATTCGGGAATGGCTTTAATACTCTTCGGGAACGTATGGATTCCAATTCACAAGCCATAAATGCTCGTCGGGAACGTCTGGAATAACTTCGAGATCATCTGTAGTGCCCATCGGGATCGTTTAAATATCAAGTAATGTCATGAATGCTCGTGAGAAATGTCCAGAATCACTTTGGGAACGTCTGGAATCTCCATTGTGAACTGTTGGAATCCTCGTCCAAAATCACATCGAGAACGGCTCTAGTATCCTTTGGGGAACATCTGAATACTAAGTCAAGTCATGAATGCTCGTAGATAATGTCCGGAGTCCCTTTCGAGACGACTCTAGTAACCGGTTAGAACGACTGAATTCCAATCCAGTCAGGTCGTTTGGAATGTCCGGAACCACTTCTTGAACGTCTTAATACCAAGCCAAGCCATGATAAATCAAATGTCTAAGACTTCTTGGCATTTTAGGAATCTTGCGCTTTTAGGTAAGGTTAGATTAGCTGACTCTATTATTGGCTGGTTCATCTCTAGTCATTTTGACGACTCTACTGGGGTGCAAATCAAAAAATATGTGTGGTGAAAGAGTGTTAGGTTTTGAACGCTTGTAACTTTGCCATTTATTGATGAAAATTAAATCCAAATACGCCAATCGATAGGATATTACATTACGAATCAGCTGAAATAAATATTTTTTCAATTTTCCACAAAAAACATTTGAAAAAAGTACAAATGATAATGTTATCTCTGTTTTCATGAAATAAACATTTCGTCATAACCAACTACCACTTGGTTGTACATCGTTCTGCTTGAACCTGAAAAGATAAAGAACAGCGCTGCTGTCTTGCCTCTGCTCATTACCGCTTCGGACGGCGTGGCACTTGGTCCTGCAGTGAGGAAATAAGGAATAAGACTTGGAAAAGTTATACATGCAAAACACAAAAAATGCAAATCAACAAAAAATATGTGACGAAATAGTGTCAGTTCCTACTGTAGTCGATGTCGATGTCGAATTTAGTGCACATTGATCAGAGCAAAATAGCTCAAGATTGATCAACCCAATGTAGTTATGTAGGGAACATTCTGCCAATTCTCAACCATTACATTTAATTTAAATACATTATCTCATGCGTAATATGAACGGTGGTTTGATTATGCTAACATGAATTGTCGCATGAGTTTTGAACCAGAACCGAAATATTGAATACTTGAAAAAATTAGGATTAAGTATAAGCTTTGAACTCGAAAAAAATGCACCATTTTTATCCGTGTGTAACTTTTTTATCCGTGCGTAAAAATTGATGACAATCTGCTTATAACTAGTTTGGAGTGAATTGTTTACATGTGCAAAATTTCATAACAATCGGTTCAGTGGTTATTGAGATGTCATCGGAGCGGCGGGCTGGAAGTGGAAGAAAATCGAAGACAGCTGACCCTGTGAAGGCCCGGAAGGTGTTGGATTATTTCAAGCGTAATCCGAACCTGTTCGATTCGCGACGGGGCTCTGAAGGCAAAGTGTTCCGCCTGGTTCGTTCAGCAAACCATGAAACGAATTGGGCTTCGTGTATTCAAGGTCCGGAAGGCACCGAACCGGCGTGATGAACAAAACACGGCGGCCAAATCCCGCGCAAGGTAGCTGTATCGAGAGTGGTTAACGAAACCGATGTGTGTGGTTATGGATGACGAAACCTACATCAAGGCAGACGCAAAGCAGATACCGGGGCTGGAGTTCTACGTTGCCAAATCACGGTTTGATGTTCCGGAAGACATAAGGAAGAAGAAAGTGGACAAATTTGCCAAAAAATACTTGCTCTGGCAGGCCATATCCCAATGCGGTAAACTGAGTAAACCGTACATCACAATGGGTACCATCAACAGCGAAATTTACAGCACCGAATGCCTCCAGAAGCGTCTGTTGCCCTTTCTGCGGTCCCACGGAGGCGGTCGACGTTGGATTGGTACAGAGACAATAACGTTGTTTCGTCCGGTGCAAAGATTTTGGGCCACGATGAAGGCCAAAGTTCGAAAATCGTCCAAGGTGTTTAGGAACGAGCTGGAGTTGAAGAAAGAATGGATGAAAGTGACCAAAAAGGTCGGCTCCACCATTGCACAAAATGTAATGAGGGGTCTTAAGGGAAAGGTGCGGGCTTTCAGCGATGGAAAGGAAATTGAATAAAGTAATTAGGCCGAAACGTAATCCATATGTATTCGTTTATTCCCTGAAAGTTTCAAGAAAATCAGACCTAAAATAAACTTTTGGCGAACACTTTTGTCTGGTGCATTTTTTTTCGAGTACAGGCCTTAATAGTCAAAAATGCATGACCTACATCAATTTGTTGTGTTCTACGTCATACTGTGGTCGTGTCTAGGACAGAACCCTTTATTTATTTTTTAACTTTGAAGATGCTGGGACACTGAGAATTTTTGAAATCTGGGATTTAAAATAATTTCCGGTATTTCGAAATTTGTACACATTTAAAATTTCAGGCTTGACGAATTTTTATTCATGACTCCGAAACTAGGATATGATTGTTCGTTGCAGATGTCTCTTCCTTTTGAAATATGATCACTTCAGTCAAGATTTGTTGTTGAGCGGATCCTTGAACTCTCTATGCGCTCATCTGATGGCCCATAATTTTGAGAGGATTCATGAACACTTGGTTGGGTTATATGGCGGATCTCAACGCCCTACTTTCCACTGCTCTTTAGTTGTGTATTGAGGTCCCCAACAACTGGCAAATTAGAACGAATTTGGTTATGAACTGGATTTGAGGGAGAATTTTAAATGTTGTTTTGGAATTTGCAGGGAAACGGAAAACGGAACAAAACTATTAACTTGCTTGACAAAAATTGGCTCAAATCAAACCTTAAACATAGACTGGTTTATAGGTATGTGCGGGAGCACTTGATCTAAAGTAAAATAATAACTTTTTTACTAGAAGTCGAATCAATTTGCAGTTTCGCTTAGATCCGCGTTTGATCAAGAATGAGTAATTTGTTCTATGACCCGTACATTTTCCCATACAAACATTAGAGGTCTTACACAAATTTAGATCTTAACCAAATTCGATCAAATTCTGCACAGCTGAGGGAAGCAAGGGGTTGTAAAGTTGACCCACCCTAGTGCTCATCAGATGAGCGCATAGAGTGTTCATAGATCCACTTAAAATTGTAGGTGGCTTCATCCATGGAATTGAGATAAAAATTAGTCGCCAAAAATCAGATCGAAAGTTGTTTTCCAGTTATTACTATATGAGAATATCATCAGAAAAATGGAGTAAAATAATTCACGTTCAATTTAGACACATAAGCTCAATGCAATTTACTTTCATCATCTATTAAACTGTACTTGTTAAGCGGCAGCAAATGGCTCCATTACCCTGATGATTCGATTATTCGGTGCGAAATGTATATCATGCCTCCGGAAAATCGAGGAAAACCAAGACAAGAGACGCACCAGCTAAGGGCTGAAAGTCTATAAAGCAACAGAAGAAGAACCACCGTGAGAGGCCTGACCATTTACCATGCATTACTCTATACAAAACTTTAAAATTCTCCCGCTGATTCAGATGGCAAGCAAATTCGTTCAAAGTAGCCACAGTTGTTGGGGACCTCAGTATTACATTCGTACGAAGCTCCTTCCGTATTTCAGGGAAATGCGAACAACACCAATTTATCCAAAATGTAACACTTCGAACCCGTCCTTCATTTTCCCTTTTTCAATTACGTGCCGCGAGCTGGGACGAAAAAATAACAATAAAATCCAAGCTCTGCCATAAGGAAAAATCGTGAAACGACGCCAATGTTCCCTTAGAAAAAAAAACTGTCACTTCAAAAGCCATTTCCAAGCTTCCACTCTTTCCAGAAGCAGTAAAATGGCACGTCTGCTTCTTTGTCATTTCTTATAAAATTCAAACCGTTGCAGTTTGCTCGTCGTCATCGTCGTCGTCATTATCTGCGGGAGAGATTATTCGCCAAATTGAAAGGGAAATGATAACAGAGTGTCTTTATTCATCCAGCAGAAAGGGGCCCTCGAATTCCCTACAGCGTTTCTGTAATCAGTAATCCTCGTAAAATTCTGAAATAAAGGAAACTCAAAATCAATTGATCTTCGCATTTAATTCCTTAAACGCTTGGGTTGGGAAAACAGGAACATTCCATCCCGACCAACGGTACTGCATTAGTAACTGAATTTTCGGATTTGATGAGATTTAATTTATTCCTTGCCCCGCACGAAGTGCTTGATTTCCCTCGAGTTCGACATCGGGTTTGTTACCACTGTTGCCTTCGGTCGTCACGCGCGCGCTCAGTGATGCGTAGCTTTGTGCTTACTGGCTTGCCAAAATCAATTAGCTTTTAATCACATCAGAAAAGGCCGAATTTGCGGTGTGAATGATTAATTTCCAACCAGACAGGGGCGTGCAAAGGAAATTCAACACGAATGCGCAAAGCCCATGGTTTAGCTGAGTGGAAACTAGTTTCAATTCTGCGAATCTTAAAGAGCGTCAGTTATAATAAATCCTCAATGCCCTAGAGGCACACCCGTGATCCTAACAACTTTCAACCCTCACCTTCACAGCTCACACCTACATCCCTGTCTAATAATCAATTTCGGTGTTTTCTCTTTCTGTTTCTCAAATTTCAGATCACCACCAAGCTTGAAGGCCGTCGGTAGCACCAATAACAACAACAACACCATCATCAAAAGCTTCAGCAATAGCAATATCCACAGCAACAACAACCACACCACCACCCCCATCGGTGCCGGTACCGTCAAGGTCGAAAACATTGGCATAGTGAAGGGGATCCCGCAGCAGAAGTCACCCCACAACAGTACCAGCTCGAGCGGAAGCAGCACCAGCAGCAGCAGCATCGGTGTGGGCGGATGTGCAACCAGTGGTAGTATTAGCAGTAATCACCAGAACAATGTGGAAGCAACGTATGCCAGTGTTATCAAGAAGCCCAAGGGTCATCACCAGCATGTCCCCGGTGGCGGTGGCAGCAATGCCATTGTTGGGGAATTTAATGCTGCCGATCTCCGAAATTCGTTGGATCGCAAGTTGAACGGACTGCTGTATAGTAACGGAATCAATACCGGTGGACACCATCATTCGGGGCCACCGCAGCACCTTCATCATCCCGCCGGCGCAACGAGTACCGCCACCACCACCACCACCATCGTGGGGGCCACCTTGAAGGACGCAACTTCTCGGTTCGGTGGCGGTCTTCCTGGCGGGGGAGGTCATCACTTGAGCAGTAACGATAGTTTACTACTAGATAGCAGTAGTATTAGTAGCGTTAGCAGTAATAGCAATCACAATCTTCTCATTGGCAATAGCAGTAGCAACAGCAATTCGCCCATCACCGGAATCTCATCTAATGGTGCTTTGGTTCCTCCGCCATACCGCGATCCGCCGCCGCCGAGAAATTCGCCCCTATCCCACAAGCTAGACAACTTGAATAACAGCAATCCGAACGCCAGCATCAGTAGCAATGGTAGCGGTAATAGTCAAACCCTCAACAATCTCAATATCAACAGGAAACTCGAGAAGGATAGTATCAACATGAATCTGGCACTGAATGCTGCGGCAGCGGCGGCGGCGGTGGCAGCGGTGGGGAACAGTGCAGCTGCTGGTGGCAGCGGAGGCAGCATTGGCAGCGGGAGCATCAGCAGTGGAGCTAGCAATGCTAACGAGTTGCTTCTGTTGAGCGAACTGAACCTGAATGATGGGCCTCTGCAGAACACGACACAGTACAGGGATCTAATACAGCTTATCAAGTACCAGCGGGAGAAAATCAATACCCAGCAGGCGGATCTGTCAAAGGTGGGTGGATGGATATAGATAGATAAGGGTGCAATCACAGTTCGACTAGATAGCGGCAAGGGGGATGATGTTTGGTATTCATTTTATAGTCTGTTGCTTCACTAGCGACAACGGGCGGTACCAGCATATGCCTTCCTACTGTGCAATGTTTGCTTTATCCGGTTCGGGTTTAACTACAGTTGCCGCCCCGTGGTTGAGGCTTGCTCGTACAACTGGGCGGAACAACAATGGATGTTTTGTGTAGAGTTCTATGTTTGCGTTGTGGTTGAACAGCAAATTGACTAACGGAGACGAGATTTACATTTTTCGGCATAGATTTAGGGACACCTTCCTCTTCCTCTTGCGGAAGACGATCCGTGTCTTTTTTGATTAAACAGGAATTCAACCGACAAATAAAGAACTTCCGATGTTACGAAATTCGTGGAATCCTTTTCTGAAAGGTGAGTCACTCCCCGTGCAAAGCTGAAGATCAAATTGAAATCAAAATTTGCTGTTATGATGTAACTTATTTTGAATACTCCAGTTGATCTCATTTTGGTTGACTTAACGGTTAACACAGCAAAAATGAGAGCAAAATTTTACACTGTTGAAGCAAACGGAAAACTAATCCTGCTTTCAATGAAATCAATTTGATTACTGATTTTGCATTCATAATGTTTAACTGAATACGGGCCTAGAGTAAATGGTTACCATTCATGTTTCTCAAGCTGAAAGACTTGGGCTCCAATCTCACCGCGGGCAAGTCACGAATGACCTAAAATGTGTTAAACAAATCAGATAAACGATAATCATTAGTTCAACGACAGATGAATTTCAATTAAATTTTAAACAAGACATAAACAGCAGAACTTCAAGTTAAGTTGCTTTCATTTAAAACGTCTTGACTGCATAATGAAAGCACAATATGATATCAGACTTATCTCGCAACATTTGAAATCAAAATGAGTTTTCATTATGATAGGAACTGCACACTTTAATATCGATTTGCTTTCATTTTGTTAACCGACTTTGCTCGGGTCTCTGGTAGTCTTTGATGGCCATTGAAACGTCTACTTTGATGGAGACACATGGTTATTCTCCTGAAGCGAAGCTCGTGCGTTGATGTTGTTTTCTTTGATCTGTTTGTACCCAAACACGCCGAAAAAAACATGTCTGAGAACAAACACGCGAACGTTGCTAGGAATTGTTTTCCAAAGACCAGTATCAATGGGTTTGTTTTTCAAACGTTTATCTGTCTTCAGATGTCATGTTTTTTTCCTCTGGAGATTAGGATTTTTCGGGCCTTTTTTTAATCTGAATTCTAGGTGAAATCATGTCTATGTTTAAACAAAAAATCCGACTAAAAGGCTTGAATTCATATTCAGGAATATAGCTGGAATTATGGAAGTATAGACCTGGCTAATCATAATTGTTTAATGTGTAGCTTTACTACAGAACTACAGAAAAATTCGGCAAATTTCAGAAAAATTCAGCAATTTTTTGGAAAGTTCTGCAAACATCACAAAAATTCTGCAAATTTTAGGAATAATTCAGGAATTTCAGGGGAATCTGTGAAACCCAAGTAAGTTCACGAAATTCGGGATTTTTTTACTTTATTCAGGAAAGACTGAGAATTTATGGCTAATTCTGTGAATTTCAAAAATATTCTGCCAGCTTTAGTGGAGGCGGCGAACTTCATGAAAATCCTAAGAACTATGCTACTTCCACTAGGAAAATTTGGCGAACTTAAGGAAATTTCTGCAAGAAGCAGGGAGGTCTTCTTCTTCTTCTTCCTCGCATTTCAAGCTTATTGCGTATGGCATATTAGCTTATTGCGTGCTCTCAACTTAGTGTTCTAGATGCACTTCCTTAGTTATTAATTGAGAGCTTTCGATGCCTGTACCATTTTTGCATTTGTATAATTGTGTGGCAAGTACAATCATACTCTATGCCCAGGGAAGTCGTAAAATTTTCCAACCCGAAAAATTCCTAGACCGGACCGGGAATCGAACCCAGCCACCTCCACCATGGTCTTGCTTTGTAGCTGTGCCTTTACGGACTGAGCTAAGGGAGGTCTGCGAACTTTAAAAAATCTTTAAAATTATTCCGGATTAACCTAAGTTCTTGAAAAAAAAATCTTGAGGACTTTAGGGAGGTCTATGTTCATTTGTTGGTTTTTTAAATAATTTCTGATCATCCTAGTATCATGGGTGAAAATCAGAGACTAATACCTGATAAACCTGAAAATTTGAACTCCTGAGGATTTCAGAAAAATCTCTGTTCATCTGTAGGGTTTTGAAAATAATTTCGGATTATACTGCTATCATGGGTGAATATCCGCGAATTGAATTCCTGTATAGTTGAAGATCTTCAGAATAAACACTGATCAACCAGGAGACTTGCAAAAATATCCTGACATAAACTTCGGGAAAATTGTCCCAAGTACTCGAGAAAAGTTCTAACCACCACTTGAGGCAAGTTTTTCCCAGAACTGAAGAGGAAATCTTCTCAGAATTGAAGAGAAAATCTTCTCAGAATTGAAGAAAAGTTTTTCCTAGAACTCCCGGGAAATCCATCTCAGAACTTCATCTCAGAAATCCATCTCAGAACGAAGTTCTTCTCAAATCTTGTGGAAAGCTCTTCCCAAAAGAGATATTCTTCCCAAAACATCATAAAAGTTCTTCTCAGAACTATAGAGAAGTTCTTCCCAGATCTTCAGGGATGAAACCAGAACTGCAGTGATGTTCTTCCCAAAATTAGAGGGAAGTTCTATCCAGAACTTGTTAATAGCTAGCCAGATGGGCTAGTTTAAAGGGTTTCCCCTAACCTCTGGTCTAGCCACGGAGATCGTCTGGGGTGAGCTACACTCGCCTCTTCTGTTGGTTAGTTAGAGTTTGAAACCCTAGAGCTTAAGGCTTTAAGCTTACGTTCCCGGAGGATGACGGTGCTCGACGGTTGTCGCAGTATGGCACAACGGATGTCGTGCCGGGGCTCGATCGGCTGATCGACGGTGTACTTGCTGTTTACCTGTTGCTGGTTTAAAGCGGTCGTCGGTAGCTTGCCGATCCATGCTGTCTAAACGGGTGGTACTGGCGGTCTATACCGAACACTATCGTTTGCCCTCGCACTTTTCGACCAACGTTTTTCTGTGGCTGGATCGCAATGCCTTTTTAACCCGTATTTAATGGATCCTGAAGGGAATATGAGAGGGAATCTTAGGGCTGGGAATTCCGCTACTGAGTTATTAATTGGGTCCTACCTGACTCCGTATTCGGCGGTATTAGCCGGTATTTGTTGGTATATCTTCACTATAAAACTCGTTTGTAATTTATAAGAACTATCTTGCACAATGGCTGAAGTAGAAGAGAACCTTCTCTTCAGTTTGACCCAGTAGCTTCCTCCATGACCTAAGCGCATTTCCATCTCCCTCCCACTTTTTAAACCATCCGCCTAGCGGAAGAATTCCGAATTTTTCTGTCCATCATCCAACAGTCCTTGACCTCCTGATCAACTTTTCCGAAAAAATCATCCGTCTAAATAGTCAGGATCTTGAGATACACTTCGAATGCTCACTAGCGCTGCCTAGCGAAAAAATTCCGAATTTTTCTGTCCATCATCCAACACTCCTTGACCTCCTGATCAACTTTGCCGAAAAAATCATCCGTCTAAATAGTCAGGATCTTGAGATACAGCAGCACAAACATATACACTTCGAATGCTCACTAGCGCCGCCTAGCGGAAGAATTACGAATTGTTATGTCCATCATCCAACAGTCCTTGACCTCCTGATCAACTTTGCCCAAGAAATCATCCGTCTATATCTCCGGTATCTTGAGATAAAGCATTCAAATCATGCAAAATAGGAGATTTTAGGGCAAAACTGTGAAAAACCCCAACTTACTCTATCGTGCCCAAGATGAAACCCACTCCAATCGATTTCTGAGACTTTTTTCTATAAGAATGACTATTTTTAGTCTCTTTTTCCAGCGACCACCGAAGTTATTGAATTTTAACAAATTGTTTCGATTTTGTCCCCTGTGTGCATCCCTTGTCCATATCCTTCTCCTTTTTCCAACGCCCACCTTCATCTTTTCTCCTTCCCGTTACGTGTTCTGTGTTATGTGGTGTTGGTGTGACTGGGTTACAATTATTCAATTTGGAAGTTGGGAGTGGGTTTTCCTTATATATTTACATTAAAAAACAAGACAATATTGTATACAAGAAAGTAAGCTCCCATGAGCATGATCGAATTCATTATGAATACACATATACCCTATTCCTCGCTCTCGCTATCTCCTGAATATATCTCGCTCGAAGTGAATCAGTAGGGTACAGGAACCAAAACGGTAACAAACTTGAGAGAAGTTCTTCTCAGAACTACAGAGAAGTTCTTCTCAGAACTTCAGAAATGCTCTTCCCAGAGCTCCAGGGAAGTTTTTTCCAGAACTTCTGCAAAGTTCGTCAAACAACTTCAGGGAAATTCTTCCATGAACTTTAGCGTTCTATCAAAAACAATAGAAAATTTCTTCTAAGAGCCTTAATGAGTTTTTTTTTCGAGAACTATAGAAAAATTCTTCCCCTTATTGTCAGGGAAGTTCTTCTCAGAACTTTAGGAAAACTTTTCCCAAACCTTCAGAAAAATCCTTCTCAGAATTTCGGAAAATTTCTTCCCAGAACTCCAGGGAGGTTTTATCCAGAACTTTAGAAGTGCTCTTCCCAAAACTTGAGAGAAGATCGATCCAGAACTTGAGATAAGCTCTTCCCAGGCTATTTTTAGTCTTTAAAAGAACCATTGCCATTTTTGGTCATTCTAGGGTTACCCGAATGCTCCCGGGTCAACCTGGAGTAAGTGAAAAATTTGTAGTTCTTCACCAAAATATGCCTTTTGACGGCTCTATCTTCATGGCTTTTGATGAATAAGCTATGTATAGTCTTGAAATGGATCATTGACCATATTTATTGACCAATGGTGGAATGGGTCTCCGCTTATTTTTTTAAGATTCTGGTTAGCTTCCAGAAGG